CATGAATCTATTTCCACTTGCACTTAACACACAATCACTGCACACATGTTTGCATGTGAGACTTCAATTTTTCTCAAGGTGCCGGTAAAATCAGCAAGTCTGTTTAGGCCCTGAGGGAGATGCAGGTTTTTAAACTGCTGAAAGTGAAAGAAGTTCATGACTCAATCATTTACAAAATTGTCTGTCAGGCAGCCAACTGTTGACAGACACGGGGTGACACGGTGGGGTATTCACTTACAGGGAGAGAGACAGTCATCAGTGTGAAGGTTTAGAAATCCTCTGACTCATGATAAATTGAGCATTTAAAATGTCAGAGAAAGTGCAGAGGGCACTTTTGTAAAAACATACAGTACATGTTAAATCATGAAACTCCTTAGCTTGCTCTCTCCTACTTTCCATTTGACCTAGACAAAAGCACTACTATCCCTCCTCCCTCTGTCTTCATCTTGTCCTGTGTGGCTCCATTTATCCTTCTTCATCTCCCCTGTCTCTCTTTATATACTCTCTTTTCATCCCTCGTTCTCTTGCTCCCCCCCAAATCTTTTTAACATCACCATCTGCACTAATGTTGCTCACAATATAATTTTAATAGCTCAGATAAAATGGTGAGGTCAAATACTGTGTGTAAAGTGCATAAAGGCACATTTACTGAATGAAGCTTCATAGTGGTGCTTTATTAAAAAAAAGGCAGTGGATGTTTTGCACCATGTTTCAAAGAATGACCTCCACTGTCCAGAATCTGATGAGCTTCTTAGTCCCCACAACACACCATCACCCCCTCACCCAGTCCCCCTTAATTAGCCCTAACTGCCATGGGATTAGAGTGGTTTAAGGGTGTCGCACAGTGCACAAGAGAGCACACCATGCAATTACAGAGGAAAGGCATCAACGTGTCCAATCTACGGTGCTGTAAATGCATAGGCTGTGACACTGCTTAATAAAACTGTGAGGAACAGGATTATGTGACAGACTGCACAAGTTTCACATCAACTTCTAGGTTTCAGTTATGTGTACTTACAACAACAATGTATCGCGGCCGGTACTGAATAGTGCCAAAGAGGCCGAGGATGACGATGATGATGTGGAAGAAGTTGGCAAGGATGGGGGCCCACTGGTAACCCAGGAAGTCAAATACCTGTCTTTCTAAAGCCACAACCTGGAGGGTGAGAGAAAAAAAAAAAGCAAGACAAATGTTGTGAAGTTCACACGTTCTGAATACAGACTGCAACTCCTGCTGCAACCGTGACCTGAGAGGAATGAAAGAGCCCTAAAAAACAAGTTTATGTGCTAAAGACAAAATCTGTTCAACTCACAGCAACTGGATAAAAATCCTACATTGAGTGTCAACATGAACAGCATGGGTGTTTAGCTTCCAACAGTGGGAGCACCTGGAGGTGAAGTTCGGAATGAGAATGATATGGGAACAAGGACTTTCCTTAATAATACCACTGCACTGAGCTTTATTATTATTAAGGAAAGTCCTAGTTCCCATATCATTCTCATTCCTGGAGGCCACAGCCAGGAAGGTTGGACATAGTGAACTCCTGCAGTGAGACTAGGCACTTATTATTAAAATATGTGCAACAGAAATGTGCAAGCAAAGTTAAACCCACTACAATGAAAAGAGGAACTCTGCCACTTTTCCAATACAGGCTCACACCCATTCGATATTAACGATAGCTTGACATAAATTAGATTCATTGTCTTTTTCATCCACAGATTTGTTCTTTATCTGCTTTCCCTCCACCGGAGATGTTTGAGTACAACAATTTGGGCAAAAGCAAAGCAATCGGAGTCTTTAAGACTGTGAGTTTCTATTTGCATCAGCTCAATTAGCATGCTACTGGGGGGAAATACAGCAAGGGGGTGTAAACCATTTAATTAAAATTCCATTGCCAATCCACTTCCATTCCCTGTGTCTGTGTGTCTCAAGCAATGCTGCATTTTGTAGTGTGTCGACATGTCATTTCCAGCCAAGCGCTTGAAGATGGATGAGGGAATCTCGTCTCTGCTGCAATAATAGAAACGCACCAATGAGCACATTTACACACACACACACACACACACACACACACACACGATGCACAGCCATGGCTGCTCTTCCCACTGTAATGGAAATGTTACCAGCAACCCAGTGAAACATTGTGACAGGCACGGGAGGGAGATGATCAAATACGGAGTGATAATTAAAAATGAACATTCCTTCAAAGAGGGTGAGGGAAGTGTGAGGTGACAGAGGGTGAGGTGACTGAACTGTGACCTGCACCGAGCGCAAGCTTAGCAAAGTCAAAGAATAACTCAGCAATCCAAAGTTAAAGCCTTTCACTCTAGAGGAAGGACGACAAGGAATGATGGTTGGGAAATTAATCTGAAAGTGAAGCAGGGGGAATATTATGAAAAAAGATGGCAAAAAAGATGAGAGAAAAATTACATCTGAGCTCCCTCCCTCTTAATAATCTCTGTCTATCCCCTGGATATGGACAGGGCTGAAGGAAATGAATAAAGTCAAAAGAGTTGTAGATCTTCTGGTCAGCTCTGGGTCACAGAGAGCTCAATAAAACTTGTGTAGGAGGACGCGTCAGCAAAGATGAGACACAGCTCGGCTGCAGTAAAATTGCACTGACCTTTTAAAATTGACCCTTCTCTATCTATTTAGATGCCTACCTTGACAAACATTCATGTTATTTCCTTAGTATTTTCTTTAAAACATACAGTATGGTATAAGTACTGAGAACAATTAAAAACAGCAAACCTGCAGTCAGACACACAAACCTTTCTAGCTATAATACACAATGTACTGTAGTTTTGACCTCTTATTTCCATTTGTCAAGTCAATGTCTGCTAAAGTTCCCTCCAGATGATTACAAAAAGCACATAGTATGACATTTATCTTCTTGTGTGTGGGGCCCTTTGAATGTCCTCTGGTAATCCTGGCAGAAAAAAACAGGAAAATCCAGAGGTTCTGCAAAATGTGTTAAACCTACATCCATCCAGCACACACACTTCTTTAGATCCCCTGACATATTCATTAAGACAGCTGGTCATGGACCCTTTCCCTGAAATATTTCCACCAGTCATTGAATTAAAACGAGTGTATAGGCATGAGGAATGTGTGTACTGTATGTGTGCATAGGAGTGTGTGCATATGTAGTCTTTCCTCTGAGATGCTGTATCACGTTCACTGCTAACTCAATAATCCACCAAGATGACAACAATCAATCAAGGATAGAAAGGTCTCTGCCCATGCACACACACTCTCTCACACAAACCCACATGGTACAATTAGCCCACAATTCATAGGAAGCAGGTTACTGGAGAGTGGGGTAGAATTTGATCAAAATACACCAATGCGCTTCCAGGAATAGTGAGCCGGCTACATAACGGCCCGTAAAAGCCTCCCACCGATCTCCGGCAAGCACAAATGACTCCCTCCAGAGTGATGGAATCTCTTAGTGTGTATTATGGTTTTGGGTGTGTATATGTGGAAAAGCATGTTGCGCACACATACAATTCTTCCCACCATAAGTACTAAGCAATTAGGGGGTGGGTAAAACAGCAGAATGCAACAAGCCCCTCTCACACCTCCACTACCGCCCACCCTTTGCTTCATTGTTCTCTCTCTCTCTCTTCAGTCTTGCTGTTTTTTTTTTTTAATCTCTATTCATAGCTCTCCAAAACCATCAATTACTCTCGCCTTCAGCCTTGTGACACCAGATTATTAACAAGGATTGCAGGCTGCAGTCCATCTGCTTCTGTTAGATGATGTTAGCTGGTGTATATTTAGTGTCTAGAGGTGTGGATCAGAGTCCTGCGCGGGGTTGGGTGATCGGTAACCTGCCCAAATGGTGTGTAACAGGCAAAAAATAGGCTTTTATTAATTCATTTAGTCTGGTAAAAACAGACTAAATGTGGACAGGTAACGGGTGAAATAAACCTAATTAAAATTTAAAAACATAAAAGATACAATGCAGCTTCTTTTAAACATCTAATCCAGACTGTGAGAACAATGTTATCAGCGGCTTTGCTGCTTGTAACAAGTGCCAAACACACATCCTTACAATATAATTCCTCCTTTCCTTAATGCACACATCGAGTATATCAAAGCTCTAAAACATTTCAATCACCGGCAAGTCCTTTAACATGCCATGAAAAAGATGAGGAAAAGTAAGCCATAGATAAAAGAGAGGAACAGGATAACCATAGCTGAGAGGGAGGATCATGTTTGACCCACATCGTTTGAGACCTAATTAAGAAGTGCATGTGTGCTCAAGATAAGTGGCACAAATGCATGAAAACCAGTCGCCTTGCCCATGATCCAACTGGGATTTAAAACAGAGACACAAACATGTGGCCCCGTTGTTGATAAGAATACCTCGACTGTGTTGTCACAAGCGGTAGTAGGAGGACACACTTCGGATGAGGTGCTAGGTGTGAAAGCGAGAGGAGCTTTTGACGCTCCCTCTGAGCGAGACGACCGAGGTGACTGGTGTACCTTTCATTTCCACAAGCTCTCCACCTTAGCCTCCAGATACTACACATAACATCTGTGTTTCTCTTTCTGTGTGTGTGCTCTGTGAAATGTCCTCTGATAACATGTTACTGAATGGATCTGTGCCTTTGCAAAGCAAGTCTATATGTGTGTGTGCTCATGACTTAAGGCTGCATGAGTCAGTCTCCTCTCTGTTCAAGAGTATAACTGACTCACATTGGGAAGAAGATGAGCACCAGGAGATGTGAGGGGTGACATGCCACTACTGCTTTATCTCATTTTCACTTAGATTATACAAACACATAAGGAAACAGGCCAAGTCTGCAAAATAATAAGATTCAGATGGGCAATTTGTATGTGACATCCACAAATGACCACTTCTGGTTTATACATGTTGAGACAGACTCTGCTGTGTGTAACTCAGAGTAAAAACAAGCTGAGGCAAAGCTTTATACATTATAAAAAGCCAGCCAGACGCTGATTCTTGCTCATCACTTTTACTGTTCTCTTCATATTGTGCTGACATAGAACAGCTGCTCTGATTTCCCTTACGAATATGGAAATTACCCAATAATAACTCCAGTTCTATGAGTGTTTGCAGCTCTGTAAATCAGTGGGTCCCAGTTTGAGTGAAATCCCCCCAGGGAACTGCAACATGAGTTGGAGGAGTGAGGAGATGATTAACAAGACACACAATCAGAAAAATCTCTCTACTGCGCTAAATCTAGCTTGTTTGTCTCGACTTTCTTCCTTGCATCTGTCTTGTGATTTACTTGATAACTTTACATCTTCAGGGCTCTAAAAACAAAGATAAAACAATCACCCTTTGCATAAACTGGTGAGAATCTGTAGAAACATAGATTTTTTTAGTGCTGAGAAACTGAGACCTGACCCAGGCTTCGAGTCAGACGGGGTCCAAATTGTTCTTGTTAATTCAGGAGGGGTAGAGTTTTACTGCATGAGTCTCCGGTCCATGTCTTACACCAAAGTGGAAATCATTTGGGGAATTTGACTTGTATTAAGCTGATAAGAAACAGCTTGTCTATCAACCAGCAAACCTGCTACAAGATGTTTTATTATTGGAGCAGGAGGTGTAAATATGACTTTTAATTATTTATAAAAATTTGTCTCAGAAGCATATGCAGTCACGCGGTCATGCCCAATATTCAGAAGCTAAGCAGAGTCAGGTCTGGTTAATATCTGAATGGGAGACCATCAGAGAATTCCAGGTGCTGTGACTACACTTATTCACTGGGGTTGCACAAGCCAGTGCTCTCTTTGTGCTGGTCCCAAGCCTGGGTGAAATGGGAGGGGCGTGTTCACAGGGGCATCTGGTGTAAAACCAGTGCCAAATCACATATGCAGATTGAAGTGATCTGCTGTTGCAACCCCTCAATCATGGGGAGCAGTTGAAAAATAATTAAACACTATATCATGACATATGGGATCTGTGAAAATCCAAGTACACATAGCTTTGCTGTGAGGGGCTACAAGCAAAAAAATGGGAACCACTGTCTAAAAACTGTATATTCAAGAGGGACAGAACTTATAGAGCATAGTAGCACCACACTGACTGCTAGAGAATGTTGTCTGAAGGCTATACAAACACTCAGAAGTGGTGTTATTAAAAAATAAAGAGAGAGATTAATAGAGACACTATGAATCAG